CCCCCCCCCCCAAAAAAAAAGCTAAGAATGTTACATATAGTATAAATAAACAAAAAAAGCTAACAATACTTGGTGGACAAATGTTTTATAAGGGGTACAGAGACTGATTTACTAAAGAAGTAGAACATTTTCATTTTGCAAATAATAAGGTGACGCTATGTTGCCCGGTCACTTGCAAGCAGAATCCATTATTTTTAATTTTCCTTGCACAGGATTGGGTATTTAAAATGAACAGAGCTCTACCTTATTAATTTTAAGTGCATGTAAACCCAGAATGTATCTTTCAGGTCTATAAGAGGCATGTGCACACTTGACAGGAAGCCCAACAACCAATTGAAGGAGTGTTCAGGGCAGGACAGCAAACTGCAAGACAGCAGCTTATTGTTATCAGCCTGAAACTGGAAGTGCTATTACTGGCAGGATCTCCAAGCAAGAAGCTTTGCAATAGAGTCACACAAAAAAAAGGCATTTGCTTAAGAAAACTGTTTACAATGAGTCACTATGCCAAACACACTGACAATAGATTTGGGGTTTACATACAGTTTAACCCTACCAGCAAAGTGTGTCTGGTCATTTGGAATGGTGTACTCAGTTTTGTTGGATTGATGGGTGATCGGGGCACCACATACCTAATATTGAAATTTTTTAGGGTGCCGACATATGAATTGAAAATTTTAACCAATTTATTCTGTCAAAAATAAAAAAATAAAATCACACATATAAAGTTAAAAAGTGCAACAGAATAAGTTCCCCAATTTTACAGGGATACTTACATGAACCACCTTAACATTATGCTCTTTCTAGTATCTATCATATATAGATATTAGGGGATTTATCAAAACTGGAGCAGACAAAATCTGGAGCAGATGTGCAAGGCAACCAATCAGCTTCTTTCTTATTTTTAAATCTTAACTGAACAAACTGAAAAGAGAAGCTGATTGGTTGACATGCACAACTACCCCAGATTTTGTTTGCTTTTGATAAAATGATAAAGTACCCTGTAAAAAAAGAAGAAGAATACTTACTGACTGTAGTTTTTGCTCTGCTGAGCTATGGAGGCTACTGGGAGGTACTGTACTGTGCAGAAACTCTTACATACCCTGCTTCATTTTTTGCTTCATTCTCTATTTGCATACATACTTATATAGTTATGCATGTATTTATTTTCATCAACAGCAAAGCCTACCTTTTTTATGGTGGCCAATTGCTGTTGGTGATGGAGGGCATGGAGAACTGCGCAACCCTGTTGTCACCAATTTGCTTTCTGTAAAAGTGAAATTGCAAACAAAAACAACAAAAAAAGTTTGTTATGTACAATCCCAGCAAAACAGGGACACATTTTTTTAAATAAATGTGAATAAAGATTATTAAATCAAGCCGTTCATATTATCAATTGGATTTTTAGTCATAAATAGATGTAGAGTATCACAGTATCATCTCCTGCTAAATAGAGCTGGGAGCTAATTAAAAACTATTTAGTTTTTAGTTTTGGATAGAGTGGTAAGCAGTTAGAGCCATTGTCAGGTTTTTAATATTGTCTCAGTCACTCTTTAATTGTCCCTATCACCAAAGTCCTGAGGAATGAAAGTGAAGGTAAATCCAACATTTTTAGTTGTCACCAGCACAGGAATACAGGGGAAATCTTCCAATAGGGATATGAGTTCACTTGAAACTTTCTTAGCGGGGCTCTCCCTCACATTGACAAAATATCCCCGTACTTACGGTTAACATGACATTAAACTCAGAATATGCCTCTTGATCTGATCATCTTCTTCCTACTAGTAGTTTTCAGCAGTCCCTCCAGCTCTGGTGCTGATCTCTGATTCAGCGCAGACTGCTGTTACTTCCTGTCCCACGGAGTCTGTCCGGCGTGTACGCTCACGGCTGTGTGCATTGACTTACACTGAAGCTCTTCTCCTCTCCCTATCAGTGATCTCCACTGTGCATGCACCTGCACACATCCTCCTGTACGGCCACTCGGGGAAGCTGGATTCTGCAGCCGAGAGCGAGTGGTGGAGACAAAGGTACGTTTTTACCTATTTGCCATATACTGTATCTACTGCTTGCTAGCAATAGATATATGTAAAAAAAGAGACTTTAATACTACTTTAGGTCTATAGGACAGGGAGGAAAGAAATATCTCCCTCCTCTACTCTATCCAAAATGTAAAAAAAAGTTTTGGCTTTAGATATATATCATAGAATGGCGATTTCATGGAATACAACTGTATGCATTAAGGTTGAATTCCAGGCAAAAATTAAAGCCACAAATTGAGTTAGCTCTGTATTCATGAATACATCAATAAAATTATTTGTTTTAAATGCAAGCTGTGGAAGTGCCAAAATTTGACCAGGTATCAGCCTCTTGCAATCCATGTACAGTCTGTACAGCGTAGCTTAATGAGCGGAAGGATGAAGCAGCACAAGCAGCTATTGTGCGATGCAATGCAATGAGCATGCTGATAGGAGGAGAGAAGTGGATGATATAGAGATGAGCTCATAAGTGTGCTGCTTCAAAGGAGGAAATGGGGTGAGGACCATGATAAAAGTGAAACTGCAGCAGAGAAAGGTTAAGTCCCCTCCATGTTAGATGCGGCTGCACTGTGGGGAAAAGCTGTAAAAAATCTTAGGACTGGATGGACAGAAATACAGACCCTTTGGAAGGTAAAACAGCTCTCTAATATGTGTTATGTGTACTTAGCTGTTTTAACTCAGATTTGCTTTAACTGTAAAAGTGGAAACAAATAAAACAATGTCCTGTTGTATTATATACTGTGACTACATGACCCTCAGGGTTATTCTAAGGACAAAGCTACTAAGTAGTAGTCATCCTATGCTCCACACAAGGTCTCAGTTAGTACATGTATTTATTTCCAAATCATGGACTAGACGTTTGGACAGCAGGTGAATCAATGTGCTACCATAATAATGTGTAGACACCTTTCCAAGAAATGTAGGCAGTCATAGAGTTTGCTGGCTATGTTTCAGAGGCCTGGAGTTTAAATGTAAGCTCTTTTACTTTAAAATCTGTTTGACAAAGGCTGTCAACAGGGATGCCAGAGAGCTTGATTTATGTAAAACCTGGAAATCAAGTAGGAATAATGTTTTACGTACCACACAAAACTGAATCTTAAAGCATAACAAGTGGTGAGAGTAAAATACACTCTTCCCAATAGTTGAGCCAGATTGTGACACTGATGCTGTCACATGCTGGCTCTATAGCTCGAGAACTGAGCTATCACAAACTGCTGATCACTCAACTCATGGCTTCTCCCTACAGAGATCAGAGGGGGTGACACCAAAATGACTGACAGTGCTCTCTGGGCCTACTGTGTGCTACTGGATTCAACGTATTATCTAAGACAGACCTTACTCATGGTGATTCAACTACTACCAGGGATGTTCCAGAGACACTGGAGCCCCACATAAACCTCTACTGGCCTGCTGCCAAACCCAAAATGTTTCAGTAATTTAAGGTGATATTGCTGGGAACAATGGAGTAACACCTGAACCTCCACTGGTTCAGACAGAGAAAACACGTGGACCTCTGTTGTAATGGAAGCTACTTCTGCCTGCTGTTTGTGGGTGAAGTCTGAGCTCCATTCAGGGACTGTCACCTTAGACAGTTGCTATTCCAACTGGCGGTTGTTGGGTATTCCAGCTTTCCTTACCACTGTTTTGCTGTTTGAAATACCCGTTAATCCTGTCATAAATCCTGAGTCCTTGCAATTTAATGTCCACTGTCAGAAACCACCTGCTACTGCGCATGCGCGGGGTCCAGTTTTCCATACTGCGGGTAAAAAGGTACCTGCGCGCAAGCATGCGCCACGAAACAGCCGCTCAAAAGCATGCCAAATGGCTCACGGGAAGTGATGATGCTTCCTGATAGATCTGCCTATTTAAAGCCAGCCTACCTGACTCCGAGTTTCTAGATTGTCTTCAGCTTCCCCTGTGTAACTTGTGCTTCTGATGACCTTGCTGACTTTGACCCGGATTATCCTTGACCTTGTTGTTTGCTGCCTGCCCCTGACCTCCTGCGTGCTCACTGGACCTGCCTCTGTCCCCTGCCTTTGTACCTCGCTGCCTGACTGTATTGACCCCTGGCTTGTTTGACCTCGATCTTGGATCCTGCTGTGCACTCCGCTGCCTGTCTGGCTTTGACTACAGCTCAGCCTGACCCGGTCCATGGCCGAAACTATGGTTGCACAGATACCACGTACAGTACTCGGTACAAGTACGAGTACATGTACCGATACTTTTGAGCTCCAAGACTACACTAGAGAAAAATTAAAAAATTAGGAGGCAGCTGTCATTTGTAAGGAGCACACGGAGCTCCTGGGATTTGTACATCTCTGTTTTAATGTACGATTTTGTTTTTATAAATATAAATAAAGGGATCCACAGATACCAGTTTGGCGAGTACGAGTACTGGTACTTGCCGAGTACTTACAAGTACGAGTACTGATACATTTTTGTTTATTGTCATGTGACAGTTTTTCTAAAATAATACAGACTAATGATTTTAGGACAGTGGTGGAGTGCTAGGGCCCGGTCCCAGCTGCAACTGCTGCAACCCTGGTAGTTCTCATGAAAATGCCAAGTATCTGCACTGGTACTCAAAAAGTATCTGTGCATCCCTAGCCGGAACTCCAGCTTGCACGGTGTGATCATCACTGGCAACTGTGCCAGTCGCTGTCCACTCTGTTCCCAACTCCAGAGTCTTTGGGACACGAGGTGCAAGGGAAGCCTCCTCCCTACATTCAGTCTCCACCAAGGTACGTGATATCCACTGAGCTGAAATCTCAAACAATGTTATCGCTTTTCTCTGATATTCTCTGTTAACTATAATGGAGATAAGGGGAGGAGGAGGTTCTTTTAGCCTAAATTATTACATACAATGGGGTTAGTGTGTTTTGTCATCCTAGGACAGGAAGTGTGCGGCTGGCAGACTCACTGGGTAAAAATAATTCACCCACCATGTCTAAGGACTGGAAGGCTGCAATATATTACATTTTTATTTTTAGGTTTAGATATACTTTTAAGTGGTTTTAAGTGGCTTTTAAGCAACTCTGTTGCTTAAAATCCAAAACACCAAAACAACAGTTACCTTTAAGAAGAAGTTAGAAAAAGAGGAACGTAAATACATACCTCTGTCTGCCCTGCGTAACCCACTCTTGATCAAGAAAAATCCTGGAAACTCTGAAGAAATTGACACTTGTAGGAGGCTTGATTTGCTTTGTACCCCAATGAACATAGTGGTTTCTCTTGCCAACCCCTACAACACTACAGGACATGCTAATGTTGCTCTCAACAAAAACAGGGTGCCTCTCACACCAAGGGCCTATGATTGAAGATTAATATGTCTCAAGTCTAATGGGAGTGCCAAACAAACCATCTGAGAATCCAAAACCTTTTAATAATTGTATTGGTTCACAAACAATAACACAGCATTGCCAACATGTTTTGAAGGCCTGAAAGACTTACCCCTTCATCTGAGCTTAAACATATTGGGTAACAATAAGGAGCTCACGTGAATCACCAAGAGTCAATTACTTACTGTAAACGATATTGCCAGAATCAGTGAATCAGCAAAAGTAAACAGGAATGCATGAACTGTGGATCTGTGTGTGTGTGTAGTGAGGGGACTGGCAGGATCACCAGGTATTCAGTAGGGTTTTCCAACATACATTAATAAAAGCTTGCATTTTCTCTAATGTTGTGGACAGAGTTAATTATTTCACATTTACATACACTTTAAAGTTTAAATGTTTACTTGAAATCTCCCTAGCAGCGATACAGATGGAACCAAAATCCTGACAAAAGCCTTCTCTTTTTCTGCTCTATCAAAAATGAAATAAATAATTTTGGTTGGAGTTGAGATTTCAACTCCCTAAATGCTATTTATACTTCAGAACTCCAATAAACTAATTAAAATGCATGGCTAGATGATCTTGGTAATACTGCAGAAGAACAAAGGCAAAAACAACTTGAAATGACCCTTTAAACTAGCAAGCCGATCAGATTTTGATTTCTTAAAGTAAAGCTTTGCAACAACTATGTAATCTGAAGTATAAACTATATCTAAAGTAAAAACTTTTTATTTTTATTTTGGATAGTGGAGGAAACAGTAAAAAGCCCATCAGTTTTTTATTTTTATTTTAATGTTTATCATGTCTACCATTCAAGAGATTTCCATTCTGTTCCTGTCCTGTGGACACAGCATAAAGTGAGAGGAAATCCACCCAAAATGAGATAAATCTCTTAG